TTATATATATATATATGTGTGTGTGTGTGTGTGTGTGTGTCATATAGTGACACATTACCAAAAATTTGTCATATAGTGACACACACCCTATAATTTATACATATCACTAAAAATTACTTTTATCTACACAATAATTATAATATATGTTGGTATATTATTAAAAAGTGTGAGTATAAACTATAGTGACACGCAAAATATGTTGTTAAATCTCATTTAAACAATACTAAAATTGTGTGTAACTATATGTTGTTAAATTTCATTTTTTTTTCTTTTTTTTTCTTCCTCTTTCATTTCTATTTTCTCAGTAGAATATTATAAAATAAAATAAAAACTCTTCCTTAATTTTAAAAATATTGTAGTCTTAATTTTAAAAAAAATAATTTTTATTGTCTACACTTATTTTTTTTCACTCATTTTTAGTCTTTAAAGTTTAAGATATATTTTTTTTAATTTTTATACTTACAAATTTTTAACCTGCAAAGTTATTTTTTCAACATTGTCTCTTTCATATTGATATGATAGAGGTATTGATTTAACTGTGTATCTAATATCAAATTTATTTTACTAAAATCATTTTAAATTAAATTTCTTGACCCTTCATATCTCTTTTATGTCTTCACTTATGATGGTCATTATTAAGATATTCTTTTTTTACTATCACAAAATTGAAAATCTCTATCATGCTAACATAAAATAAACAATGTTATAAAAAATTAACAATAGGTATTAAAAAAATTTAAAAATTGTAAATATAAAAACTAAAATATCTATATTGTTATAATAATTAAAATAATTAAAAAAATAAATATAAAAATTAAAAAATATATTTTAAATTATGAAGACATTATACAGGTAAAAGTATTTAAATTTTTTTTAATGCTTGTAGGACGTTAGTTCTTTAGAAATAATAGATAGATTTTGAACCGGTCACGTGGCACAAGAGATGGCGACATCCTATCACTATCATTTTAATTAAACAATAAAAAAAGTTAAAGGGTCCTGAGGGCTGAGAGGATAAGATTGGGAAGTGCAAGCAAAAAGCACACTGAAAGTCTAAACCGGAAACCGGCTACCATCGTCACTTGTACTTGCACAGTTTGCCAGAGTGGTGGCGCCGCTGTTATTATAAAACATTCCAACCAAAACTACCGGCTACCCAGGTAGGCTCCACTTCTTTCTCTATTTAAACTAAAAAACAAAATGAAAAGGTATTGATATCAATTGCAGTGATTGTTGGAAAGAGATGATACTGGTGGCGATCGTGGCGGAAGTGCTGGAGGAGTACACGGCGTTGCTGGCGAGGGTGCTCGAGCAGGTTTTCCGTTCAGCCCCTGTCCCTCGACGGGTTCGTTTTCTCATCCTCCGTACCCTTCCCTTTGTTTCTTCTCGCCCCACCCCTAGGACCATTCTACCCTCTCCCACTTCCTAATTACTTTCACCTTTCTCACTTGTAAATTTCACGCTCCATCCATTTTCTCTCTTCACTTGTTAATGTTTTTTCTTTTTATTTTAAATTTTGACTTTGAGTTGCATGCATTTTCTGGGTTCCATTGCATCCAACGCTGTTCACTCCCATGGCCCATGCTCTACAACCTTCATCCACCTCTTTATTCAATTATTCACTTATCAATGTAAACTCTCTATGGAATCAATGTTATAAAAAGTGTGCTTGAATATATTTCTCTAATGAAATTATACTTTTTTTCTTCTAATTATTGATTAAATAATAATAAACACAATACGGATCCTAAATCGTCTATTTCTTAATTTAATGTTCGGTGGCATTATTCTGTGGGTGTATCTATATAGATAAAGATTTGTAGGCTTCTAGCTGTAGCTATTGAAAATATCTTTAGTTACAATTATCAAAAAAAATATCTTTAGTTACTAGGATTTATTTTTCGTAGAACTGATGACTAAGAAGTTTGATTCTCGGTAGGATCGGTGAACTGTCGCGATATGGAAAATTTTATACTTCAATATATTGTGCATTAATCGTTATCATCTATTTTCAAAGTAAATGATGTGGTAATATAAGATTCGGCACTGTGAATTAAACAATATAGGATTGGATAATAATAAAAATAGCTATTAGCCTATTAGGGTATGTCATTGTCATCCCTCGAGTTCACGAAAAGAAAAAAGAAAAAAAAAAAAAAGGCTTCATTTTTTAAACTATGAGCAACGTTTTATCTGTAAGTATAGTGCAGCTCAATCCATTCTTCTGATGACAGCTATAATATGCGAAGGAGTTAGTCGGATTTGGTTTAAATATATTTTAAATAATTTATTTTTAAATAATAAAAATAATATCAAGATATAATTATTTTAATAAATTCAAGATTCGAAATTGATTGGAAATTGAAATCTTAAAATTTGAAAATGAAATACAGAACAATAATAATTAATTAAATAATTATTGATAATTTTTAAATATTTTTATTAAATAAAATATAAAAATACGAAATGTATTGATTTGATTAGGATTATTAATATCGCATGTTTCGGGAGAGAAAAAGATGTATCGGGAAAGAAAAAAAAAATCAAAAGTCGCCATCATAACAGTGCAATGGAGATGGGTGGGAGTACTCAAAGAAATGTTGCGGACTATTTGGATACTGGATTTCGCAGTTCGCACTCAATCATTTTATGTACGGAAAAATGTGGTTAGATTTTCACGATTATTTATTAAAAAAATAAAAATTGATATGTTAATAATTTTATATTTTTTTTATATCTGTTGAATGTGTTTTAATTGTAATTTTAATAATTACAAGTGTATTTACAGGCTATTTATTAATTAAAAAAAACTATCATAATTTATTTCCTATATTTAAGGCTTTTAACCCGCTGTATTTTTTTATTTTTGTTTAATCAGGTACATAATTTATTTTAAAGAATTGGATTTTAATTTTTGACTAATGATATATATCTTTTTTTTTATAAGTACACCTCCTTTATTTTTTTTTAAATTCCTAAAATATTCATAGTTTTATTTATTATTTAATTTTTTAATTTTACATCTTCAACTTTCAATTTACTATTTTTTCTTCAGTTTTCACATGTATCATCTTATCTTCTTCCAATTATTCACTTATTTCAGTTGTTAGTTTTAGTTATTTCAATTTTTACATTATTCTCTTATTTTTCACTTCTTTCACTTTTTCACATGCACCTAAATCATAGAAATGGTAAGCTACAACATTTTAAGTACGTGCAGCTTCCTCAACAGTTTCTATCAAACTAGACACGCATTTCTTCTTTCAACACTTCCTTTCCTTTTACCCCTCCAAAACCTTAACAATAAGTTTAATGTTATGAAAAAAAATATATTTTCACTATTCTGGAGTACTATGTAAATAGTGAAATCAGTGAAAAAACTGAAAGAGGAAGAAAAAAAATAATGTAAAACTAAAAGAATTAAAATTACCTACTAAAATAGATGGGGTGTAGAAAAATTAAGGGGGTGCATGTAAAAATAAGGGAAAGATGTGTGTAAAAAAAGTATTAAATTAAATGTTAGGAGTGTAAAATTAAAAAATTAAAAATAATAAAAATTAAAGATATTTTAAAATTTTAATTTTTTTTAAAGGGGTGTACTTATAAAAAAGAAGGAAAAAAAAGGTGTAGATATCATGGTCCTAATTTTTTTAACTAATAGTTACACCCTACGTGGTGTAAGAAATGTGGAAAAAAAAAGTGAGAAATAATCAAAGATGATAGAGAGAAGGGCCATTTTGCTTATTAAACAAGGAGAGTGGCTTACTGGTTCAACAAGCATGGAGAACCATGGGTGAGAAGTGAGAACAATGATAATCTCCAATAACAAGTTTTTCATACAAGTTCCTTAACTAAGAATAAGTTTTTATTTTTTCACTGTTAGGGTGTAATGACATGACTTTCATGTACAAAACTGGTATCAGGAACGAGTTTGTTTAGCACAAAGGGAAAAAAATGAGATTCTGAAACCCTTTCGATGATATAAAAAAAATTCGAAAAAATATATAGAGTAAATTGTATTTTTTAATTTCTTCATTTTTATCAATTTATAATTTTAATTTTTTTAAAAAAATAAAAATATTTATTTATTTTTTATTTTTATAAATACAAGATATTAATCATATCATTAATTTGATATTCATTAATTATTGAATTTTGAATAACATAGATAAAAATAACACATAAAAAATCTTCCTTTCTGTATATCTTTTGTATATACATAAAAGATCTAGTAATGACATATCAAACATATTTCGTCACTATATATATTTAGTCAATCGATTTTTTAATTTTCCTTTTCGAAGATAATAAATCTTCAACACAGAAATACTAGCAATCTTATTAAAATAGAGATACTAACATAATGCTCTAAACTCGCCCTATTTAACAAATTAAAATGTAAAAACATACAGTATAATGATGAATCCTTTTTCTATCGTTACAAAAACTATTAAAAAAAAGGTAAACACTTTTCTTATTTCTTTTGATCCTTCGTAAATCCACACAACCTCTTTTCACAAGAAATTAAAAGAAAATTTGTATGTAATGGAAAATTCGTTAACTTCATTTTATTTTATTGAATTTATATAAAAACTAAACTTTAATATTCTTGAACTAAGTTCAATAACATTTATTGAAAATAATAATCACATTTAATTTAAAGAATATTTTTAAAATAATAGTATTAAATAAGTTCAAATTAGTTAGAATTTGTATATATTTAAGTATAAGAAATTTAGATACTTTTTATTTATATATAAGTTTAAAGATAGTATAGAATAAGAGTAATCCATGTAGTTTTTGGGTTTTACTATCCCTACAAAATTGGATAATAAGGTGAAACATTGTCCCTTCACTTTTATACCTCATTTTGACTTTATCTTTAGACTATGGTTAATGTTGATTTTTTTTCTTTTCAATATACCTCTTCATGTTCATCTTTATTGAACTAGTGTTTATAAATGATAAGTAATCATTTTAGGAGATCTAAAATTGCTAAGACATTATCTTAGAAAGTGAATTTTGGCCTAACAACAATACAAGACTAGTTTGTAAATTGAGAATAGTCCTTTACTTATATACTAACTAGTTTGTCTTATTTTCTAGTCCATATAAAATATGGTTTTTTATTTTTTCAATACTGATTAATTTAAAATAAAACAAAACTTAGGTGCAGTTCATTATGTTGTTGATGTTGTTCTATAATCAGAATTGAGATTTTACCTCAGTGGTATACATTTACATTTAATATAGATCTCACTAATGTACATTTATGTATGTTGTACTAAGCTAAAACTCCAACTCTGATTAAAGAACAATACCAACAGGGATGAAAAATAAATTCGTACCTGTGGGTAATATCTGAATCCATCCCGACTTTGACAAAAAATATCCGGTTTGATCGGGTACAGATAAAACCCAAAATATTAAACTGGGAACAGGGACGGAGACGAGCATCCCCACCCTGGTTTCACTTGCAAGATGAATTATATTTTTGATTTGAGAAAATTTAATTTATTTTGTTATTTCAACTCAACATTGTGTTGTTTATTTGTAACATTACTCAACATTTATGATTATTTAATTTGTAAGATTTTAATTATGTGTAGTTGTTTAATATGTAAGAGTTTAATTATGTGTCGTTATATATTATGATGTGAAACATTTGTGGTTGCTTAATTATTAAGAATTTTTTTGATTAAAATATGATATAGACAAACGACTCAATTATCATTGTAATATAACAAAAAGATCAACTAAAAATATTGTGTGTTTTTTGCAAAAAGAAAATTAATTTTTGACGAGTACGAGTATACCTGATATCTGACAAGGACGAAGATGAGATGAAAATTACATACCTATTAGATATCGAAGACGGGGACGAGGATGAGTTTGAATTGCAAGAATGAGTATCATGAAACTCGTACACGCCTCACCCCATGCCTACCAATACCAACCATACATAAAGAACTATACTCAAGATTTGCCCTTTAAAATAATCTAAATATTTTATTTTTATAAAATCTTAATTACCCTAACTAAAACATTTATTTGTATTGATCACCGTTAATATATTTATTTCAAATATGAACATTTACTTGTTTTAACCGCATAAATTACTACGTTGAAATATTTTTTTATGAATTATAAAAGGAAAATATGTGTATTTCATAGATAAATTTTCGTAAGATAAATCTAACGATATTTCTTATTTGAATTTGTAAAAAAATAATATATATATATATAGAGAGAGGGGGAGAGAGAGAGATAAAGAAAGAGGACGAATCTCCTTGTTCTAAAAGTAAATTTACTTAAACTTATTTTATTCAATAACTTATATTATATACCAAATTTTAAATTTAATCATTGAATTTAAAATTCTTAATGCATAAATTAAGTATGCAATTTTTTAAAAATTTAAAATTTATTTGATACTTTATTTCATTAATTCAAATTAACATGTAAAATATTTTATAATTATCCGTCAATTTGAACATGAGTTATGGGAGCAAGTCATGTTCAAGTGGGAGGATGAGTCCGTTTTAGGAATATGCCGAAGAATAACGATATTACTTGACCTACCTAGTGTAACTATTTTATAATAATTGCTTAATCGATAACCCAAAATATGTTTTTAGTTTTAGATTATTATATATATATATATATATATTTTAAAAAAATTTACATGATAATCCTAGATTATAATATTTTTATTTTCTACCATTAGTTGTTAAACTATAAAATATAAAAATTTGTCGAATCGTTACGATCCTTGTGAATATTCTAAAAGTAAATAAATTCATGAATCAAAGCTGAAAAAAAATCATGAATTGAAAAAATATACATTAAATATTGATTTAAATTTAAATAAGTTCAAAATATACTTTAATTTAAATTAGTTAAAGATACACTCTTAATTTTTTACCTTACATGATTACTTACTATAAATATAACTAATCTAACACCTTCTTTAAATGGAATATTTGATATTTTAAAAAAGACAAATATTAGTAATAATTAGTATTTTCTAAAAAAGATTGGCATTTTATTTATATTCATGTTAATAATTAAAATCCATGATAATTATCAAAACTAAATCCCAAATTTAATTATAAAAAAAAGATACGAACAGAATTTGTTGTATTTTTTCACAAAAACTATTCGTCTGTTGCAACTTTGAAAACTCAACAAGAATTCTCCCCGTTCTCTATTGGTAAAAAATAAAAATAAAAAAGGTTGCATAAATTGTTTGTGGGTGTTCTTGTTGGGAAAATCAAACGTTAACGAAAAAAAATCCAACAAAGTAGAAAGAGGAGAGAGGGTAAGGTAAAGCACATACTACTTGGCAACGAAGCTATATACTTTTTGTTTTTTTACTTTCTGTAAGTCAATAATCTAACACGCTTTTCATGTAACTCTTCGGAGTTCTGATTCTCTTCTATCTGCTTCTGCTGTTTGGTTTCACGCTTCCAAATTGCAAAGTAGAGAGAAGAAAGGATGATGAAGAATCAGAGCAAGCAAGTTACCTCGTTGACCACGACCCGTTTGTCACCACTGGCCAAGCCCTTCACTCTCAACCGCTCTCTCCTTCAACCCTCTTCAAGTTCCCTTTTTGAATGTCACCCTTTTCACGAATCGCCAAAAGAAGGTGACTTTGATGGGTTTGGTGGGGATTTTTCGTTTCCTAGTTACTCATCCTTAGGCCATGGCAAAGGAAGTGATGTTGCTGACTCCACCGTGTTTCACAAAGGTAGTTTTTTTTTTTTTTTTTTTTTTTGTTTTATTTTTTTTTTTTTTTTTTG